AAAAAAAAAAAGAAAAAAAAAAGAAAACATTTTTATTCACCAAACACGCAGAATTCCTCTTCATCATCATTCTTCTTGTGTTTCCATATACTCATCTTCTAGTATATGCAATAACTCACGAAGTTCTGCTGCGGTAGCTTTCTCTACGGAATCATGAGATTCATAAAGAAGTTTCACAGCTGTACAGCTCCAGTCATGTGTACAGGTAGTCAGTCTTGGTCTTTTCACTGATTTCACAGAAAAAGGAAATAAAGCTTCAGCACTTTTATCTTGTCTACTTCCATCTATTTTAGACACTTTAGGAATCTTACTTTCCTCAATAAGATGAGGTTGGGTTTCTCCCTTCTCACTTGTCTCTTTTTCCTGTTTACTAGACCTATCACTATTTATATTTTTAAATTGTATATAAAACGAGTCCAGTTCATCCACTATCAACTCTGGTAAATGATATACTTTTAAACTATCCCGACACCACTTGGAGAGACGTCTTTGCATACTTTCTTGCTCATATCGATCATCTAAAAGCACAACCCCACCGTAATCCTGCGAATGCCGAAGACAACGACCCAGTGCTTGATTAACAGCACGAATAGCATCTGTGAGATACCATTCCTCTCCACTATATTGACGTTGGGCAATAACCGTCCAAGACTTTAACGGCTGTAAAGGAATACCAACACAAATAACCAGTCGAGCCATACTATCGGCGAAATCCATTCCTTCACTCACCTTACCACGATACACAGATGCAAAGATAGCCGTACTATTATGAGTAACTCTACAAAAGGCATCTAATAGGGAAGGAAATTCCATAGCTGTTTGTGTTTCTAGAAAAACTTGTGGTATACGTAATTTTCCAGCCTTATTAGATATCATACGATAGTGTTGAATAAGTTGAGATCCCACCAAACGCATAACGGAATAATTTGGAAAAAATAAAAGAGTACCACCTAGTTTTACCTTTTCTACAAGAGTAATGATAACAGATACGAGTTGATGAATAAAGGATTTGTCTGTAAAGTTTTTATAATTACAATGAAGTTGTGAACCATCCTTCATTTTTGTAAGAGCCGTTAATCGGTATTGATGAGGTTCCACTACATGTATTCCTTCGTAAGTCATCATATGAAATAATGGAACTCCAATATCTTTTCCAAGTTGATCAAAAGGAGCTAGTGTTCCTGATGCCAATATAATACGATGTGAAGATCGAAGAAGATGATAAAAGGCAAGACTTCCATCTAAACAACGGATTCCTATACTTCTCCCTTCTGATGAACCAATTTTTTTATCCATCCCTTCTTCCCAACTACCACTATTATTAATATTATTATTATTATTATTATTATTATTATTATTATTATTATGACTCAAGTTAACATCACGAATACTGATAGCAAAAGCAGCTGGATATTGTAGTATATATCGCATCACAAGAAGCCAACGTTTCATAATGGAAAGAGTAAATATGGAAAACTGAAAAGGATTAAATGTTACACCCAAAGTCATTACAATACCATAAATTTGACGAAACATGACCATACCTTCTATGGATAAAGTAGATTCATCCAACTCCTCTTTATTTTTTACTTTATTTTTTTCATATATAAGGGTTACATGATCTTCTATGCATTTTCGAAGTATATTGGATATTTCTTCACCAGGAAGAGTTGGTCCTCGTCCTTCATTATCATCATGATTATTATTATTATGATTATTATTATTAGTGAAATCAATATTTCTTTTTTTCCACTCCTTGGAGTTCTGATGAACTTCTATCGAATAATCTTGTTTTTCTATAAACCTTACTATTCCATTAAATATATCATAAAGTAATGCAAATAGTTCTGCTAAAGTCCAATGAGTTAATTTAAATTCCCGAGGATAACTCAATGTTGGTACAGATGTTGCTGAAATAAGAAGAGGTTCAATTTCACTTATCACAAGACGTAACATATGAATAGATGTATCTAAAGATAATGCTTCTTGACAAACCAAAGGAACATTATGTGCCTCATCAAAAATAATAATAGAATGATTTCTCAATGCCGCTTCCATTTTACATTCATGACGAATAAGAGGATCTAAAAGATATTGATAAGTAGCAAAATTAATATGAGCAAAGAAAACAAGATCCCTGGCTGCATAATATGGACAACTCTGAGTTCCCGTACCTTCTACAATTAAATCTTCCATATCCCAAACTTTATCGGTTCGTCCTTTACAAAGTGGACGACTAATAGCACTATTGGCAAGAGCACTATATGTATGAACAGCCTCACATTGACCAAGAGAAACAAGTTTATCACATACCTCACCTAAATTATTACATTCTACCGGTAATGTTTTATTTGCACGAGCTTTTAATACAGTATTATTTATACAATACCGTTCTCGACTTCCAAGAATATTCATTTTTAATCGTTTTAGTTCTTTAAGTTTTCGTAATTCACCAACAGCTTGTCGTACCTGTGCGTGTGTTCGTGTAATGTAAAAAACAGTACAGGGAGGAGACCCGTGTTGTCGACGAAGATCCAAAGAAGTACTATTCATCTCTACACGAAGACACTTCCCTGTTTGAGGACGAAATTGTTTAAAAAATAGTGTTGGTACTCCCCACTGTTCATCATTATCTTCACTATTATTATGATGATGATGATCTCTCCATTTTATGGAATTCTCAGCCATATCGTCATCATCATCATCATCATCATCATCATTCTCATCCTTCTTTTTTTTATTTTTATTCTTTTTCTTCTTATTGTTTCCTTTCTTTGATTCGGAAACCCTATTAGAGAATAAATGCATTAATGGTCCATTTCCATGTTTACATTCTCGTTCTTGTAGATGTTGTTTTAACTCATCTGGAGTGAATTTCCCTAAAGCCGCCTGGTACTGCAAGACACTTGAGAGAAGCGCCAATGTTTTCCCACAGCCGGTGGGGACTTCCACTGCCGCTACGGGAACAGGCGGTGATGAGGACTGCAGACATTGATTGATAGTGCACATCATCTCTTTCTGCACAGTGTACGGCTCAAAGGGAATAGTGTACGGCAAACTGCCCTGCGGAGATGTAGACAACACCATCGTGATAGCAATAGCAATAGTGATAGCGAGAGAGAGAGAGAGAAAAGAACAGGGACCGCACTACTGTCTAGATATATATATATATATATATATACGAGTTGAAATTGAAATAGAGAGAAATAGAGAGAGAGAGAAACTAATGACAGAAATAGATATACAAAGAGAGAGAAGTTTATATAAATAGTTATATGGAAAGTGAAAGAGAGAAAGAAAAGAAAAAAGAAAAAAAAGCGTAAAATAAACGGAAAGACACAATAAAGGGCACGAACAAGAATAACAACAACGGCAATGATAACAACGAAAAAGAAACCTGTAATTGGGGCACACACACACACAAAAATTCGCTCTGTTTAAAAATTCCTTGCTTCCCTCACACCAGAAAATAAAATAAATAAATAAATAATAAATCTGGATGATGAAGGAAAACAAAAACAAAGGAAAGGAAAGAAAACAAAAAAAAAAGGATTTTTCTTTAAATTTTTTTTTTTATTTTCCTTTTCCTTTGTAATGATCTAAAAGAATCTTGTACCTCCACCTACACTTGTTCGCTGCTGCAGCAAAACCTCCGGCACCACAAATGATGAATCCGCTGAAAATACAGTACTCCTGCGAGGAACTGAACCACTGAAGCGAACATCCCCGCCACTAAATCTACTCTGTGGTTTGGAATCCATTGTAAACCGATCTCCTACCCTTCCTGAACTTCTTCCATTAATATTTATATTTCCTTCTTCTTCCTTTTCATAAATACGTGCCCGACGACGGGCTAATTCTCGTGCAATAAGAGCTGAGAGTTCTGTGTCTCCAGTCTGAAGAGCAAAGTGCATGCGGGTGACAAGCTCATCATTATTCATATAAGCAAAGGACATATCTGCCATTTCTTTTCGTGCATAATAGCGAGGAAAGAGTTTCGCCAATAATCTACCCCACAATGTGGATGAACGACTTCCACGTTGAGTATGTGAAGGAGAGAATAACGGTCGACTAGCAAGATCCTGTGCAATGGCTTCTGATCGTAACTGTCGTTCCATTCGTTGTTGATCATGATAGACATCTTTCAATGTACTTATAAAGGCACAGTCCTTTCCTTCCCAGACAGAGGGATCATACGGTGGGGCATCATACTTGGGAGTTCTCCCAGTGTCTTCGCCGGCGGTACGAAACATGAGGAACTCCTAACAGAGATAATGTGGAGAATAAATCTTTTTTTCTTTTTTCTTTTTTTTTCTCTTTTTCTCTTTCTTTTCTTTCTCTGTGGGATAGGCCTCTAGTCTACAGAGGGAAAGCAAGATAAAACGGGAAAGAAAAAAGAGCAAGCAAAACTATAAAGAAAAAAAAAAAATATTCACATACTTTTCACTCTCCATTACCAATTAAGCTATTCACCTTTTTTTCTTTTTCTGATTTATTACTTCTTTGTTTTTTTTTTTTTTCTTTTTCCTTACCCTTGTCCAGAAAAATTCCCCACTTCATGTACTCTCCTCCACGCACTTCCTTTTTTTTTTCTTTTTATTACCATTATTATTATTATTATTGATATTTCCTTTTTCTCACCAAGTAACGTTCCAAGTATTCTTATCGATGGTTTTGAATGGTGCCTGTACTGAAACCCTACTACGAACTAATGCCCCACGTTTAATACGAGGAGTAAATTTCGGAGCTCCGGGGAATTTCTGTTGTCGGCGCAGAACTTTAAAAAAGACTTTCTTCGCCCTACAGTTTGGAGACATGGGTACTGTGTGTCCAGCGTATTGATTAACTTCACCATCTTTCAGTGTTTTTGCCAATGGCTTTTCAAAGAGTCGTTGTTTAAGTGCCTCTTCATCCCGTTCACGTCTTGCCATATTTCGCAGGAGATGTCGTTCACCCCAGCGATAGGCTTTTCGAACAGGATCTGCACTTTCTGGTAAGAAAAGTGGTTTATTATGATAGGGATGCTGTTCATATGCATAACTATCGGATAGTTTTTCTTCTCCTACAAGAGGAATTTCATGTTCATCTGCTATAAACCCAATACCATCTTTAAAGCCACTATAAATATCCTGCATAGAGGTTACATAGCCGGGATCACGATTGCCAAGATCCCATAATGCCTCTGGGGCTGGGAGAAGAAGAATATCATCTGCACCGGCACAGCGAAGTTGTTTCATTAATTCTGTAATAGCAACATTAGCGTAACTTCCACGTTCAAGAGCGAATTCTAATGTTAATTTTGAATCCACTTGATTATATTCATATCGTAAATTCATAGGTTTCCGTACAATAGGTCGAGGTGGTTCAAGGAAATCACGAATTCCAGTTTGTGTGTGTTGTCCATACCAGTCTAGGTGATATTTATCACAAATTTGAAGATAATACTCTCCTACTGTATTCATTGGACGTTGAATGCCATTAAAAGAAAATCCAGGATGTACCACATCTGTAATAGAATAGTTTTCTTTATTATTATTATTATTATTATTATTATTATTATTATTATTATTATTTGTAATAATTTTAATACCTCCACGATACCAATCTTTAAGATCATCAGATGATGTAGCCACATGCCTTAATACCTCTGGTAAAACAAAATCTCCTTCTAATACTTGTAATCCAAAATGATGAAGACGGAGTGTTAATACTTGATTCCATAAGTAACTACTTAATCTTTGTGCTGTTAACCGACGACTTGTTTTATCTAAATCCATAAATGCTCCTTGAAGTTGTAAAATAATTAATTCCTGTTTTTTACTTATTGGTCCACCCCCTTCTGAACATAATGGGATTCCTAAGGATGGACAAGAAAGAAAAGGCATTACATCTAATTCACCAGGTTCAATAGCCATACGTCTGAGACGACGAACGATATTTCGTCTATATTCATCCTGTAATGGTGTTGGATATTTCTTCTCACGTTGTAGTAATTCCCGCAGTGTGAATGGTTTATTTGTATATCCAAGAAAACGAAAAGCAAACACTAACCAATTATGATGTAATAAAGCGAAAGCCGCATCATTTTTTCCACCAAACCAGGAGAATCGTTGACAACCATAATAATTTGGGAAACCATGTTTACGAAAGGCCTCTAAAGACTTTTCAATATCTTCCCGTGGAGCTATTACATCTCGTAATATAATTTTAAAATGATTTCCAAATAAACGTCCTGGAAGTAATGGTTCTGTTTGATAGGAGAAATCAGATAATGTCATTTTCCATTTTTTATGACGAAAAATACGATTTGCTTGAAGAGCAGCGGCAGGGGAAATATTCTTAAGTCGTACTCTTTGAATCGTATCACCAATATAATCTTTTATTCCAGCAACGGAAATTCCAGTGGGATGCATGCGAAGTGTCTGTGCAATAACAGAGAGAGCCACACTATGGGCAATGTGTTGTTTGTGAAGATAACATTGAAGATAGAAATGTTCCTTACTACAGATGAGTTCACTATTATTATTATCATTATTATTATTATTAGACTTATCCATAGTTGTGTTATTCTCTGATTTAACAATATCTACTATTTCCTTTTTTTCATTATGTTCTTCCTCCATAAGTTCAACTAGACGCTCCTGTACATTTACTGTAAAAAATGATTGAAGTGGAGTATCCGGAGAACTATTACTACTATTACTATTACTATTATAACTATCCTCATCCTTTTCTGTTGGATTATGCTTAAGCAGAGAGTCTGGTAAGGACGGTATAGTCCAGTCTGGTTCCCGTGAAAGCATTACTCCTCTACCAGTTTCATCCGTCATCATTTCAGTAACGTAGAAATCACTCCAGCGTTGACGAAAGAGACCTGAGAATCCAGGAGCATCTGGTGAAACAAAGGCACCCATACCAAAACGAAATAGTACGGCAGTTTCATCTGCAAATAAAGAATCGGGATGGCACATGAGGGCATTATAGGCTTCTTCTTCTTTTTTAATGATTTCTTCTTCACGTTTATCTAGTGTATATTGACGTTTTTTCCATTTCTGCATCATTCGTTTCATCACATCAAGGGATGAAAATGACCAAACCTTTTCACGCAGCACCTCTTGTTGTTGTTTGTGAATAGAAGCCGTAGTAGTAGTAATAGTAGTAGTAGTAGTAGTAGTAGTAGTAGTAAGAGGATGAGATCGTTTAGCTAAAGCATCCAAGCGATTCCCTTTAGACTTTGTCTTTATTGAAACATTAGAAGTACGTATATTAGAAGAAGGCGGGTGGTAAAGGCCTAGACGATATGCAAGAAAATCAATTCTATGAAGTACTGCCGGATCAACTTTCCAAATCCAATGTGTAGATTGCAGTGAAGAGTTCCCAAGTGACGGCTTCATATATATATATATATATATATATATATATATATGAAGTGTATCCTAATTAGATTAGAGAAGGGAGTGAAGAAAATATACAAGCCCCAATCTCCAATCCCTACCCTTCTTCTCCCTTCAAAAAAAAAAAAAAAAAAAGAAAATAATAATAATAAAATGGGAATGAAAAGGAAAGCAAGACGCAGTTTTTGTTAGAGAAGAGTTTGTAACCTCATTTTTCTACACTCTACAAAGACAGACACACACACATAAACACACGCACGAATAAAATAAAAAAAGATATATATATATATATATATGGGAAAAATAAATAAAAAGAGGAGGAGAGTGCAAACGCACCATAACAAAGAAAAAAAACAAAAACAGGAATAACACTTCCAATACCGAGCCGTCAAAAGGAAAAAAAAAAAAATTCCTCTTTCCATTGTAAATACAAAGGGAGTTTTTTTCCTCACACACACACACACACACACACACACACACCCACCTCCTTTCTCCGACGAGGTGAGAGGAACAAACGTTATTACCGCTGTGTTTGTGAAACAGTTGGGTTACGTTTCCCAAGACCCGAGTTAAGTCTGAGTAGACCTTGCATAGACATTTTTCCTGTTTGTGTGATGTTTCCTCTATTCGTAGGTGCGAAGGAAGATGATGTTGGTTGTTGTGGATTCATAATGCCTCTACCGCTTTCATTCGGTGTTCGTGAAAATCCCGTATTTTTCATTCGTTGAACACCCATGCCCTGTTGTACATCCCGTCGTTTTCCCATGGAATCATTTCCATTGCCAAATCCCATGCGATTATCAACGACTTTACCACCGCGAAAAGGTGGACGTGTAGAGTTTGCTGTATTCCCACCATGGCCTTCCATACCAACACTATTACTATTACTATTATTATTATTATTATTATTATTATTATTATTATTATTATTATTATTATTATTATTACCATAGGAACCAGGAAATGGATTTGTTATGTTTGTACTCATTAAGGTGGAATTCATTAATAATGGTGGTGGTGGTGTTGGTGTTCGTGTAGTTTCACTTCCCAATTGACTTGGATGAGTAGATCCACCACCAAACTCATCCATCATTTTTTGTAATTCCACCGCGAGCCATCGTTCAAAACCGTTTTGATTATCTATATTTACTTTTCCTTCTGCATCTACGGATTTTTCTAAAGCTATAGGATGAGTATACCATAAACCTGGCACCATACGCTCACTCCCATCATCACAATTCCATTCTCCTGAGTATGAAAGTTCTAAAAAACTCTCTCTTGGTATTTCTGTTTGTTGAGAGTACATTGGTGTTAAACCTCCCATGTAAAGATCTTTTGCTGCAGTATACCACGCCAGAAGTATTTCTCCATCCGCACGGTTACCTCCTCCAACACAGGAAAAACTTCCTAATCCTCCATGACAACTATGATGAATAGTATCTATAAGAAGAATATAACTATTACAATGACGACACCAAAAGAAATAAGTGGCTCCAATAACACGCCATGCCCATCGTTCTACATGTTCATCACTCCATGAAATAGAAGGGAAAGTTAAATTAACTGGATGTTGTGAGGAAGTATGTGTGGTGAGAATTTCACCATGGGTACCTATAGAATTCTTAGTAAGTCTTGGACAAGGGATAGGTTTAACATTTTTTCCTTTACGAGTTACTCGTTTATATTCATGATCATCAAAGAGAACTCCACAGTATCGACACCATCGCAATCCACTGGATCTTCCTTGTCCAAAACGATCACAAACCATATGACGAAGTACTGCTGTAAGGAATCTACGATTAGATGTATACTCGGCTTGACATTCAAATAATTTTAAAAAGGCTCTCGCAATATCACCTTCTGTAAGCATACCAGATAATCTTGCTAACAACTCTCCCGTCAGACATTCCATATTTACCCCAGATAATAACACTTGAAGAAAGTGGTCTCTAATAAATTGTAAAGATACATCAACGAGTGGTGTCATGCATAGAAAGTTTGAGGAAAGTGCTATAGAAACAGCATTATCTGGTGTAAGTGGACGTTGTTTTCCTTCTACATAAGCCATTAACCATGAAAAGATACCCATATCACAATTCACACGTAAAGGAATAGGAGGAAGTACAGTTTGTTGCTTCCTCTTTGAAGAAATCTCATCCTCACGGCTTTTTAAACTACCACTAGTTACATTACCAGAGATAATACTAGTATTCTCACCATTACTGCTATTACTATTATTATTATTATTATTATTATTATTATTCGTAGTAGTAGTAGTAGCCGTAGCAGTAACCGTAGTAGCTGTATTAGTAGTAGTAGAAGTAGAAGTAGTCCTGGGAGTCGTGTTCGTTACGGTATCTTGTTCCTTTTCACCATTAACCCTCATGAGTGCCTTATTTTCCTCTAATTCCTCCTCTTCTTCTTCTAAATAGCGTCTGATAATAGGCACAAAGTATACCATGGACTTTTCCAGTAAACGGACATCACAGCGGAATACACGCATCTCATCTAATAGTCTATCATACACCGTCACTTCCACCTCACGCTGTGGAGATGCGGAAGAAGAGATGCCGCCGGTGCTATTTTTCATTTTTAGGAACTTTGTCTACTAAATGTGAGAATATAGTATGTGTATAATTATTACTTCTTTTTTTTTAGTTTTTTTTTTTGTTTGTTTCTTCTTCTTCTTTTCTACTTCTTCCTTCAATGTAATGGAATTTAGAAAGTGGGGAAAGGAGAGAAAAAAAAATAGATAAATATAATGAACCTTTCAAATAAACCCAAAAAATTTTAATTCTATCTTTGCCATTTGTTTTTTTTTTTTTTTAGCAATCCATAAGTCTTTTTTTTTTTTAATTTCATTTGGTTTCTCGTTCGTTGCGCTCCTCTCTCTCCTCTCTCTTTCCTCTCTACGCAGTAACGTCAAAACTTAAATGATGTTTATAGAGCACTTTGTCTACTGTATTTAATCCGCAATATGTTGGAAACGGAAGGAATGAAAAACAAGCAGATTCCATAATAACATCATCTGATTGTGTCTGTTGTTGTTGTTTTGTCTCTTTCGCTCCACTGTGGCCTAGAGGGAGTCTGGATGGATGTGTATAGTAAGCCACTAAATGATTCTTCTTCATTGCCTGTAATAGAGCAGCAGCAGCAGCGGAATCTGCATGAATGTCTATTAACTCACTATTATTATTATTATTGTTATTATCGTTGCTGCTATCCATGATTGATAGGAATGGAACTCTAATTAATTCAACTTCCTACTCTTCGTCCCAGCAAAAAAAGTAAGAATTAACAACAAGAGAAAATAGAAGAGATAATCCGTCTGATGAGAGAGAGAGAGAGAGAGAGAGAAAATCAAAAACAAAAAAACAAGTAGAGTAAATAGTAATTTAATCAGAGATGTATAGAGTAAAAATAATAATAATAATAATAATAATAATAATAATAATAATAATAATAAATAATATCAAAGAAAAGCCCATGAAGGAAAAAGAAAAGGAAAAAAAAAATCTTAAAATGAGTCACTCAACGCATGGAAATACCGTTTTTTTTTTTTTTTTTTAAAGCAAAGGAAAGGGAAAAACAAAAGCAAAAATGAAGAACAATGTCAGAATAAAAAAAGAAGAAAAAAAAAGAAAAAGAAAAATCGAGAAGATATCTTCTTTTCACTCCATTTTTTTTATCATTATCGCAAATAAACCAATCAATAAACAAATAGGAAGCAAAAATAATTACTTAAAATACATATACATACATCTTTTTTTTTTTAAATATTTTCTCTTCGCATTTATGTAAATTACGAGAGTCCACGTCTCCAGTCCCAACGAAACTTCCCTGAGCCATCAAATGTACGCAAACTACTTCCCCCACTCATAGCCAGTGTGTGTTCATCCGCGTTGTTTCCATTAATTTCCTCACTCACCTCCCACCTGAACTCCTGCAGGCGGTGCTGCTGCCCAACATCTATTGCAGTCCGGGTGCGCACAGAGACGGCGTGAAGGGCAATCGTGCAGGAGGCGAAGGACGGGGACTCCAACACACGTGGACTGTGCGCAGATCCCGTCGGGGCCGTTGCGGCGATGGGAAGTGTTGCCCGCCGGGGACAACTCCCCCACTGTGCGGTGCTTCGCCCACCAGCGACACTCTTCCGCACCGGCATTGGCCGCGAAGATGTGGTGGGAGTTGGAGTTGTTGTGCCGTTATTATGATTATTATTATGATTATTATTATTATTATTATGATTATGATTATTGCCGTTGACTGCGGTTGGGCAAACAATGTGAAAGGGGAGGAATGCCGTATTTTCCGGATCTGTGTTGGAGCCGTGCGGGAGTGAACCGCACTGACTGTTGTCGGCGCTGGCGGAGCACCACTCACTGTTGGAGATGCCGCCTTGTGTGAGAACTTCGCGGCTGCTGTCATTATACACCAACGGGGAGTTCCAGCACTTTTCACGGGATGGAATAGTAGGTGTGCTGTGCATATCCACAACCGAGTAGGCATTACTACTCATCCTATGATTACTACTACTACTACTACTATGATGATGATGATGATGATTATTATTATTATTATGATTATTATTATTGTTTTTGCAAGTAAAACTGGTCCCTGTAGACCTTCGTGATTTTTGTTTTGCAAATTCAGGAAGTGTACTATAGACAAGTGTGAGTCCACATTTTTGGAATTCCCATTGATATAATCCAGCTGCATTTACCTTTAACGATCCATTTGGTTCACGTAGCCAATGATCATCACTTGGATCTGCTGTTCGTGCATGTCGACATTCATCACGACAGAGAGATAAGAGAATATCTTCTGCAAACAAATTGGGTTGTAAACACCATTCCTTTCCATCAAAATACAAAACAGATCCTGGAGAGATTGGTGTGGAATCTTCATTAATATGTTCACATACAGAACCATACGATCCGACAATCCACACATCTCCTTTATGAACATTAGAAGGAATGAGGGAATCCACAAAAACATTTCCTTCCAAATGACACTTCATAGATTCTTTAGCTAAAGATGTTCGATATTCTGCTCCAGATCCACCAATAATATTATTTAAATGCGTAATATAATACCAATAAGCCCATTCCACACACTTTTTAACTTCTTCACTATCCATAAACCCACATATGGTATCACCTTCAATGTAAGTTATAAGAGAATGTTTTGTTAAAGATTTCCCATTTACTATTAAATTCGATAAATCCTTTTTGATTTTAGAATCTATTGTACTCTCTTCAATACGTGCTCGTACTTCACGTAAAAAGCACAACCAAGGAATATCGGTCGCTTCCACTGAAAAATCCAGGGAACGAAAAATAACATTAGCACTTATATTCGCATTATCCCAATTTTCCATTTTAGATTCTTTTTGTTGTTTATTTTTATATGAAATATCTTTACTTTCTTCTGAAGTACTAAAATCATTTAATTGATATTCTTCTACTGTATTGTAAACATCCTCCAATTCATCTAATGTGGAAGGATCCCCCACAATACCAATACGCCGCAGTTGAGAAATAAAAGTATACGCTGCAAGACACATCACTACCATACGTTGATTTCCTCCAACCTTTTTAGATAAAAATAATTCAAATTTATACGGATTAGATTTCATTTTACTTTGTGGAATAGAAGGTGGACAATAATTGGTATCACCAATAAAACCTATAATATGAAGTTGTAATCCTTCTAATTCTACTGCTGTTACCATCGTATTAGAATAAAGAGAATCTCGAGTTAAATCTATTCGTGATTGTGTTAAGGTTTTGCTTTCAAGAATAAAAGCTACCACACAGGGAACAGGACTAAATACTCTTCCAGCACGATGAACGGCTAAAAGTTCCGTATCTGTTTCAAATAACCGCTGATTACTTATACTCATTAAATGTTCATACAAACATCTACGTAAAGCTGAAGGATTTTCACTCTTAGAGTTATATTTGCCCTTTGTATATTTTAAAAACGCTGATGATCCTCCACAGACATTAGTAAACTGCTGAAATATCGGAGATTCGGAAGATGGAAAGTAGTCTGATATAAGTGGAATGAGAATCATCTTGGGCACGTTGTTGTTATTATTAAAACTATTTCTTTTAGAAAAGACATGTCGTTCTTCTGTGGATTCCTCAAATGGGAGACCACGTGTTAACCCGTATCGGAGGGATTCTCTACTTGGAACAGCTCCCATCCCCAATAAACACTCACAGTGAAGAAGAAAGATTAATATATATATATATATATATATATATATAAACAGATAGATAGATAAATTAGATAACAGTGACCAGAAATACTAATGTGGAATTAGGTCACTCACCCAGTCACTCACGCACAAGATAAGCAAAGCAAAGCAAAACAAAGAAACAAAAAAAAAAAAGAGAAACAAAAAACTGTAATAATATATGGAGGGATATTTTAAAGGTGTTACTACTATGGAAGCAGAATAATATCTAATGTTATTTCCCTTCTGTGAAAGCCAATATTTATCATTCACTCCTATATACGTATAAAGGGGATTAAGAGGTTAAAAAAAAAAATAGAGAAAAAAAGAAGAAGAAAAAGGAGTAATGTTTATTACACATATGTAATCATCCATCCAGAATTAAAAAAAAAATATATATATTCATATTCATATATATATATAGATTACAGCAGTGGAAAAACAAAAAAAAAGAAAAAAACTTCAGAGTCTTTTTTCTTTTTTCTTTCATTCTCCGCATATTCAATATTCAAAATTTTGTTTCCGTCTCTCTACCTCACCACTTGTTAAACAATGACAAGATTGATAATCTTCTCTTTTTTTTCTTTTCGTCTAATAATGGCAAACCAGCAGTAGCCAGTCGTTTTAGTGGCGAACTCGAAACTTTGAGTTTAAACAAACATTCTCATCTCTCTTCCTGTTTTTTCCCTTTTTCTTTTATTTTGTTGTTCTCTTTATCTTTAGAAGGTCATATATAAATTATACTGTTCACACCTTTACTTTTTTTTTTCTTTTTTTCTTCTTCTTTTTTTTTTTTTTTGGCATTCCATAGGGAGAAGTCCATTAGGACCTTTACTTTCTCTTTCACTCCCACATCCTCCCTCTTTCTCAGTCAAGATCTCTCTTTCTCTTACATACACAAAGAGGGAGATAGATAGATAGATAAAGAGATGATTGAGGAAAATACAAACAAAATAAAAAAAAAGGAGATAACACAGACACCAGCTTGTAAAGGTGAAGGAGATTCGGTAAAATAAGAAAAAAATTTGACATAAATACATATATATATATTTCTCTTTTACCTTTTTTTTTTTTTTTAATACAGAAAGAATAAGCAAT